GAGGGAGGGAGAGAGAGAGGGGGGTGTTAAGCAGAGGGAAGGAAGAAAGTACAGAACCCAGTTTTGGTAATTCGAACAAAACGACACCAACCACCCTCTTACCAATCCTCCCCTCCTGTCTGCTCTTCTTCTTCTTCACCTGCCGCGGCCATCTTTGCCAGCCCAAAACCGGAAAGAAGGCCTACATCGAACACGAGTACTTCCGGCGCCGGGAGTTGCTAGGCGATAGGTCGACGACGCCGTCGCCTGACGCTTGGCAGGTAACGGGTGTCTGCAGCGTGCGGGCTTCTCTCCCCCGCCCCGCCCTTATGAGATACGGAGCTAAACCCATCGCTCCCCTCCTCGCGAGGAGACCTTTGGCAATTTCCCCCCAGGTGCAGACGAGTCGGTGGGTCTGAGGGAAGGGAAGAGGGATGGAGGTATTTTGCTGTGAGTTGTTCTGCGCAAGTACTTAGAAGTAAGTCCTAGCAGTGGATGAGTGTTCTCTAAAATCCCCCAATTCTGGGAGTTGAAGTCCTGACCTCTTAAAAGTGGCTGAGTTTGAGAAACACCGCTCTAAGATGAAAGGGTTGCAGCCTTTTGCTTGCAATGCATCTTTGCAAACATTTCAGAAAGAAAAAGGTCCAAGCGGGATGGGATGAAGCCAAAGGAACTTTTGGCAGCAGCTGCAGTTGTCATTTCCTACTTTCTTTATTGGAGAATAAGTCTCTACTCTCTGTTGTGGGTTTGGTGTGTGTTAGAAAATACAGTAAAAATTAGGGAGGTGGGGTAGGTGCCCTTGGGAAGAACTTTATGTTTGTTGAAATTGTGCGGTAACTGAAATTTGAGAAAAGTTGCTGATTAAAAAAATATATAAAATGAACATATAATGAAATAATGTCAGATAAAAATAAGACAAAGGCATCAAAATAAATAACAAAAGTAAAATGCAATCTATAAATTCTCACAATCTTCCTTGAGTCTTCTAAAAGCAGCTGCTAAAGAGCTGTAACAAGAGAGCCTCTTCCTTGCCAGTTTGAAGGACTAGTAAAGCAGAAAGCTTTGATTTTGTTTGCTTAATGTATTGCACCCCAAAGAAATGTGCTACGAAAAGTCATCCAAAGATGCTTCAGTGTTACTGGATGCTTTGGTTTTACAATTCTATGGGATTTGTCTTGTATTTTAGGACCGTTTTTGGAAATCATCGAAGCCCAATGAAGTTTCTAGAAACTGGGAGATACACTGTCAAATCAAAAGGCTTCTGAACAAAGGTTAGAAAGATATGGTACATATAATAATGACCAGACTTCCAGTAAGAAAAAGGGGAAAAAAATGTAAGCTAGCGAAGAGAGCTTGTATAATTTCACTGATGTTAATTGAAGTAGAGGTAGATATTCTTTCAGAATCTAGTTTATAGAGAAATGTAATAATGCCAGTATTGCTCAGCAAAGATCTAATAAGCTACATGTTACAAGAAGAATCTAAAATGTATGTAATGTACCATAACTTGACATGGAGGCAACTTCAGAATTATGAAAAATCCAGACGAGAAAAGGGCAAATGTAAGAAAATTATTAGAGAAGAAAAGAAGTCAATTTGAGAGTGTGGCAGAGGGAAGTACTGATAACTCAACTTGCAGGAGCTACATTTCTGTTTCTGCACTCAACAGGTTATGCACTTATCCCTTTCCATACATACTAATCATGGACAAGTATCATGTGTTGGAAATGGTTGGAGAAGGCTCTTTTGGAAAAGTCTATAAAGGACGTCGCAAATATAGCGCACAAGTAAGAGCAAAAGAGAAAAGTGATAATTGACTGTTCAGCGGGGGTTGTTATACAAATAGATTGTGTTCAGTTATTCTGATTAGCGCTGATTCATTGACTAAGCCCCAATTATCTGGGCTTCCATAACATGCAAAGAAATCTTATTATGTGTTATTAATGCGGACATAATTGAGAAAGAAAAAGATATTTGCAAATAAATTTGGAAAGAAGGCAAATATTTAGCATGTTTCTCCAGCTTTTTCTCTTCTTAAAACATTATAGGTTGTGGCCTTGAAGTTTATTCCTAAAGTGGGTCGATCTCAGAAAGATCTGAAGAATTTGCAGCGAGAGATTGAGATCATGAGGGGACTTCATCATCCCAACATTGTCCAGATGCTTGACAGTTTTGAAACTGACAAAGAGGTGAAAACATATTGCCAAAATCACTTTGAAGTTAAGTGTAGGAGAAATAGGAAAAACTGTGCATTGCTCATCTTTAAAGCCCTTTCTGATGGATTATGTGCCATCAAATCAATGTGTACTCTTACCGGTCATGTAACAAGACTTTCTTCAAGAAGATTGAGGGTCCTAGAGCGCATGAATTTTTCCTTCACTTCCCAATAAAGCGATTATATTGTGTTCAACCAACCTGAGTGTCAACTAGCAAAGCATCCCTGGCCTGCTCTCGAATTGCCATAGGCAAGGGAGATGGGAAAACCAACTTGCAGCTACGGCGAAGCAGCACGGCAGCCAAAAACAAAAGCACATTCCAGACATATCTCTGTCAAGGCCGTCTCATGGGGTTACCCACAGTGGTCGGAGGGGAGTGATCTCTACAATCCATGAAATTGCTTCGTTGACGAATGTGACTGGTGACACACTCTGGGGGGAGGGGAGGAAACAGGGTCAAGCCTGGGCCGTAAATTACGTGGGGTCAGAGTTGGCTTCACTTGGAACATGCCGACGTGAAGCTTCTAATAAATAACTGGATTTCTTTTGAAGCTTGGCTCGAGGCTCCTGATTTAATTAGGGCATCTGTCGGAACCTTGACACTGAGAATGTTTGGATTACAGTATGTTCCTCTTGTAAAAATCTGGGAATGGCTACCAGTAGATTTCTCAATGGGTTTCAGAGTAAAGCTCCCTTTTGCAATTGATTAATGGTGATTTTGTCAATGCCAAACCAGGTTGGAAATGTTTGGAATTTCGCCCAAGGCACCTATTACTACTGGTACTACTTTTGCTATATCTTGTCACAATTATATTTTGTAATTTTCTCTAGTTCTTTCCCCCCCCCCCCCCCCCCCAGCCTGCTGGAACAGCCAGGACTTGGTGGCTTTGCGGAAGGCCGGGAGGGTAGTAAGGGTCCGGATCTCTAGGTACTACAATGTCCACTATCCAGACTTTTTTTTAAAAAAAATAATCAACTTTATATTCCTTTCTTTTACTTCTAACAATCTTAATTTTTAGTCCATTCAAGTAATCTCATAAAACTGGTTTCATTTCTACTTTGTTCCTTCTCACAAAATTTATCTAAGCTTTAGTAAACCTCTTTTGTAAATCCAATATATAAATGTTATCTAGATCATTCTCTTGGTTTACTATGTACAACTCCTTTTTTATTTTTAAAACATCAAACTATTTCTTTTGATGTCCGATGTGATGTCATTTTCTATGTCATTTGTAGATCCATTTCCAGTTTCAAGTCTGTCTCTGTCTTCTCAGATAAAACTTGTTTCTCTTCTGCCATTCCTCAGAAACATATTTTGGACATAGTCTATCCCTACAAAAAAGATTGCAGTTGACATTATTGATGTTAACTTCTGATTCCATTTCTCAAAAGGCTTCTGAAATGTTTTAAATGTTATAAGACTTTACAGTCATTCTGTAGCTGTTAATTAGATTTATGCTCAGTGCAGGAATGTTAGTCATAGTGTTACTGTATTCTTTCCTGTGCTTCTTTGTGAATGACTACATTGGCTTACTTTTCTGGTTCTTGACTGCTAGGTGGTTGTGGTGACAGATTATGCTGAAGGAGAGCTCTTTCAGATCCTTGAAGATGATGGGAACTTGCCTGAGGAACAGGTAACTGCAGCTGAAGAGTTAGACTGGAGTAATAAGTGCCCAAGCTGATAAATATTACAGAGTGAGAAGAATACTGTAATAGTGTAAGGGTCAGATCTTGTTAGGTCATGTGCCCCATGCTGTGTACATGGCATGAGTCTTTGCATCTGCAAAGAATGAATGGGGAATCACAAGACTGAAAAGAGGAAATAATTGTCACAGCCCTCAAAACATAAATAATGAAGACTAAAAAAGTGCTGTCCAGTCATCTGTCTTTTACCAGGAAAAATACTAGAACAAATGATGATAAGGTCAATTTTGACCACAGTGCAGTAGACTAATGTGGATTCTTAAAGAATGAACTCAGCCTATTTATCTTCAAGCAAATGCTTGTCAGGTGTTGTTCATGGTTGAATCTGGATGTCCTTCAATGGAGAGAAGTATCACTAAAGGACATTACATTCTGTGATTTCAAGCTCCTTTCTTACACCAACCCCCCCCCCAAAATATCACAGTGTACATTTAGAGAAAACCTCTAATTAAGAGGGCATGCTTGGCCTGCAAATAGGGTAATATAGGTAGTGTTGTATGATTTTACAGTTTCTTGGGGAAGATACTAGATTAAGTATCATCATCAGAGAATATAAAAAGTCTGAAAGTGTTATACTCAAACTGGGAGAAGTTTTCACAATGGTAAGTAAGTACGCCTCTTCTCAGGGTTTGGATTGCAATTTCTTTCAGGTGCAAGTTATTGCTGCTCAGCTTATTTCTGCACTCTATTACTTGCATTCCCACCGGATCCTACACCGTGACATGAAACCTCAGAATATCCTGTTAGGGAAAGGAGGCGTGGTCAAACTCTGTGATTTTGGGTAGGCATTTTATGATCTCCCTCCACATCTAATTCCTAATCTAAGCACTGAAAAATCTTGGTTGTTGTTTTTCCCCCCCTTTTCTGGAAGGTTTGCCCGGGCAATGAGCGTTCAAACCATGGTATTGACATCTATCAAGGGCACCCCACTTTATATGGCTCCTGAGCTTGTTGAAGAGAAGCCATACGACCATACAGCTGACCTTTGGTCGGTGGGATGCATTCTGTATGAACTGTACGTGGGGACTCCGCCCTTCTACACCAATAGCATCTTCCAATTGGTCAGCCTTATCATCAAAGACCCAGTCAAGTGGCCAAAAAATATGAGCTCTCATTTCAAGGTAACACTTTTTTCCCCCAACTCCACTTGGTAAGATTAAGGTTGATTTCTACATGAAGGCATCCCAAAGGTGTTTTTTCAAGAGGCAACTGGACTTTAACCAGAAAGTCCAGTTGCCTTTTGAAAAAGCACCTTTGGGACAACCATCACCTGGATGACCGAGAATCTCCATAGATATGAAAGCATATGTTCTTTTTTTCTTCTAGAGCAGTGCTTTTCAACCTTTGTGCTATGGCACATTGGTGTACCACAAAAAGTCTACAAGGGTGCCACATTAGTGAGTCACAAAGAAATGTTGTGGAACTGCACAGCCAGTACTCCATCTCTGTGACATCACATGGGTCAGACTTTCTCTGAGACTCCTTTCAGGTCCCAGCAACCTGTGACATCATGGAACTTTTAGGTTGTATGACCTGGAAGTCCTGCTTATAAAATATGCACACATGTTAACAGCTTGTAGTATGCCATGAGATGAAAAAGGTTGGAAACCACTGTCCTAGAATGTTTAGTCTTTCAGTGTCCTGTTACACTCAACATTTCCTATATTCTCTTTGGTCCATGTGATTTCTTCACCTTCTTTCACTGTTTGCTATCTGTGTTCAGCCCACATGAAGACTTTAAACAGTATTTTGAAAGATTAGCCTCTGTTATTTCTTGACTTCAAGCTATTGCTCTACATAGATTTGATGCTATCCAGGTTATTAAAATTTGCACTGCCATTATAAAATAACTCTTGTTGCTATTTCAAACAGTTCCAAATAGATAAACCTCTTCCTTCTTGCTGGTTCAGGTCCTGCCTAGCTTCTTGGTGGGGAGATGAAATACACCATTTTCCAAATGTATTTGTTTCTTAAAGAATATTTCTGTGCAATATTTTGCTGAAACCAGCTGACTGTTTAAGCCACAGTTTTCCTGAAGCTTTGAGAATTGTAAATTTAAACTTGGAAACAAAAATTATATTCCAAGATGTCTTGTGCTGATGATAGCCTCATATATGGTTAGATTACAGAGACTCATCTAGTCAAGATGAGTGAAGCACACTAGCCATACCTACCAGTTTAGTCAGGAGAGCTTCTTTCATGTGTTACATTACTTTATAGAGCTTCTTGCAAGGTCTCCTAATGAAGGATCCTCGTGAGCGTCTATCCTGGCCAGAGCTACTCTATCATCCCTTCATTGCTGGACGGGTGACAGGTAAGTATGGCACTTTTCTTTCTACCATCTCCCCTCAATCTTGCTTAAGTATCTGCTTTAATGTATGCAGTCCATCAAAATCTGGTTACTGATCTGGATCCTTCTTTGCAGTGATCAATGACACAACAGAACAGGCTGTTGCAAACCCTTTCACTAGCAAATTGAGCCCTGAATTACAGGCTCTCAAAGACCAACAGGCACATTTCCTGGCCCCTNATGGCTACCAGTAGATTTCTCAATGGGTTTCAGAGTAAAGCTCCCTTTTGCAATTGATTAATGGTGATTTTGTCAATGCCAAACCAGGTTGGAAATGTTTGGAATTTCGCCCAAGGCACCTATTACTACTGGTACTACTTTTGCTATATCTTGTCACAATTATATTTTGTAATTTTCTCTAGTTCTTTCCCCCCCCCCCCCCCCCCCAGCCTGCTGGAACAGCCAGGACTTGGTGGCTTTGCGGAAGGCCGGGAGGGTAGTAAGGGTCCGGATCTCTAGGTACTACAATGTCCACTATCCAGACTTTTTTTTAAAAAAAATAATCAACTTTATATTCCTTTCTTTTACTTCTAACAATCTTAATTTTTAGTCCATTCAAGTAATCTCATAAAACTGGTTTCATTTCTACTTTGTTCCTTCTCACAAAATTTATCTAAGCTTTAGTAAACCTCTTTTGTAAATCCAATATATAAATGTTATCTAGATCATTCTCTTGGTTTACTATGTACAACTCCTTTTTTATTTTTAAAACATCAAACTATTTCTTTTGATGTCCGATGTGATGTCATTTTCTATGTCATTTGTAGATCCATTTCCAGTTTCAAGTCTGTCTCTGTCTTCTCAGATAAAACTTGTTTCTCTTCTGCCATTCCTCAGAAACATATTTTGGACATAGTCTATCCCTACAAAAAAGATTGCAGTTGACATTATTGATGTTAACTTCTGATTCCATTTCTCAAAAGGCTTCTGAAATGTTTTAAATGTTATAAGACTTTACAGTCATTCTGTAGCTGTTAATTAGATTTATGCTCAGTGCAGGAATGTTAGTCATAGTGTTACTGTATTCTTTCCTGTGCTTCTTTGTGAATGACTACATTGGCTTACTTTTCTGGTTCTTGACTGCTAGGTGGTTGTGGTGACAGATTATGCTGAAGGAGAGCTCTTTCAGATCCTTGAAGATGATGGGAACTTGCCTGAGGAACAGGTAACTGCAGCTGAAGAGTTAGACTGGAGTAATAAGTGCCCAAGCTGATAAATATTACAGAGTGAGAAGAATACTGTAATAGTGTAAGGGTCAGATCTTGTTAGGTCATGTGCCCCATGCTGTGTACATGGCATGAGTCTTTGCATCTGCAAAGAATGAATGGGGAATCACAAGACTGAAAAGAGGAAATAATTGTCACAGCCCTCAAAACATAAATAATGAAGACTAAAAAAGTGCTGTCCAGTCATCTGTCTTTTACCAGGAAAAATACTAGAACAAATGATGATAAGGTCAATTTTGACCACAGTGCAGTAGACTAATGTGGATTCTTAAAGAATGAACTCAGCCTATTTATCTTCAAGCAAATGCTTGTCAGGTGTTGTTCATGGTTGAATCTGGATGTCCTTCAATGGAGAGAAGTATCACTAAAGGACATTACATTCTGTGATTTCAAGCTCCTTTCTTACACCAACCCCCCCCCCAAAATATCACAGTGTACATTTAGAGAAAACCTCTAATTAAGAGGGCATGCTTGGCCTGCAAATAGGGTAATATAGGTAGTGTTGTATGATTTTACAGTTTCTTGGGGAAGATACTAGATTAAGTATCATCATCAGAGAATATAAAAAGTCTGAAAGTGTTATACTCAAACTGGGAGAAGTTTTCACAATGGTAAGTAAGTACGCCTCTTCTCAGGGTTTGGATTGCAATTTCTTTCAGGTGCAAGTTATTGCTGCTCAGCTTATTTCTGCACTCTATTACTTGCATTCCCACCGGATCCTACACCGTGACATGAAACCTCAGAATATCCTGTTAGGGAAAGGAGGCGTGGTCAAACTCTGTGATTTTGGGTAGGCATTTTATGATCTCCCTCCACATCTAATTCCTAATCTAAGCACTGAAAAATCTTGGTTGTTGTTTTTCCCCCCCTTTTCTGGAAGGTTTGCCCGGGCAATGAGCGTTCAAACCATGGTATTGACATCTATCAAGGGCACCCCACTTTATATGGCTCCTGAGCTTGTTGAAGAGAAGCCATACGACCATACAGCTGACCTTTGGTCGGTGGGATGCATTCTGTATGAACTGTACGTGGGGACTCCGCCCTTCTACACCAATAGCATCTTCCAATTGGTCAGCCTTATCATCAAAGACCCAGTCAAGTGGCCAAAAAATATGAGCTCTCATTTCAAGGTAACACTTTTTTCCCCCAACTCCACTTGGTAAGATTAAGGTTGATTTCTACATGAAGGCATCCCAAAGGTGTTTTTTCAAGAGGCAACTGGACTTTAACCAGAAAGTCCAGTTGCCTTTTGAAAAAGCACCTTTGGGACAACCATCACCTGGATGACCGAGAATCTCCATAGATATGAAAGCATATGTTCTTTTTTTCTTCTAGAGCAGTGCTTTTCAACCTTTGTGCTATGGCACATTGGTGTACCACAAAAAGTCTACAAGGGTGCCACATTAGTGAGTCACAAAGAAATGTTGTGGAACTGCACAGCCAGTACTCCATCTCTGTGACATCACATGGGTCAGACTTTCTCTGAGACTCCTTTCAGGTCCCAGCAACCTGTGACATCATGGAACTTTTAGGTTGTATGACCTGGAAGTCCTGCTTATAAAATATGCACACATGTTAACAGCTTGTAGTATGCCATGAGATGAAAAAGGTTGGAAACCACTGTCCTAGAATGTTTAGTCTTTCAGTGTCCTGTTACACTCAACATTTCCTATATTCTCTTTGGTCCATGTGATTTCTTCACCTTCTTTCACTGTTTGCTATCTGTGTTCAGCCCACATGAAGACTTTAAACAGTATTTTGAAAGATTAGCCTCTGTTATTTCTTGACTTCAAGCTATTGCTCTACATAGATTTGATGCTATCCAGGTTATTAAAATTTGCACTGCCATTATAAAATAACTCTTGTTGCTATTTCAAACAGTTCCAAATAGATAAACCTCTTCCTTCTTGCTGGTTCAGGTCCTGCCTAGCTTCTTGGTGGGGAGATGAAATACACCATTTTCCAAATGTATTTGTTTCTTAAAGAATATTTCTGTGCAATATTTTGCTGAAACCAGCTGACTGTTTAAGCCACAGTTTTCCTGAAGCTTTGAGAATTGTAAATTTAAACTTGGAAACAAAAATTATATTCCAAGATGTCTTGTGCTGATGATAGCCTCATATATGGTTAGATTACAGAGACTCATCTAGTCAAGATGAGTGAAGCACACTAGCCATACCTACCAGTTTAGTCAGGAGAGCTTCTTTCATGTGTTACATTACTTTATAGAGCTTCTTGCAAGGTCTCCTAATGAAGGATCCTCGTGAGCGTCTATCCTGGCCAGAGCTACTCTATCATCCCTTCATTGCTGGACGGGTGACAGGTAAGTATGGCACTTTTCTTTCTACCATCTCCCCTCAATCTTGCTTAAGTATCTGCTTTAATGTATGCAGTCCATCAAAATCTGGTTACTGATCTGGATCCTTCTTTGCAGTGATCAATGACACAACAGAACAGGCTGTTGCAAACCCTTTCACTAGCAAATTGAGCCCTGAATTACAGGCTCTCAAAGACCAACAGGCACATTTCCTGGCCCCTCACAGTGGTCAGTCAAAGATTTTGAAGAAGGCACGTCAGAAGATGGCCCAGGAGGCTCAGAAAAAGGTGAAATGTATAGCATATAATCCTTGGAAAGGATCCTTTTGAGTCTCAGTCCACAACAGTAAGGTAACATATGTGATTTTTTTTCTCCTACTACAGGTGAGAGAGAAATCCAAGCCTCCTTTGAAAGGAGAAATAGATAAGGAAGGCCAGAGACTTCCATGGAAAACCTGCCCAGTTCAAGCAGATCCCAGAGAAAGGCATCAGGTGTCTTCTGGTTCTGGAGAACAGAGGCCTTGTGTTCTAGAAAATCAAGGAGCAGAATGGGAGCAAGCAGAGCCACCTCCTACGCCTCGGTGAGAATTAGATATTGGAGTTAAGAAAAGAACAGATCTCTGCTGTGCACTCTCACTTCAATCTTCATCTTTCTTCTTCATGGATAGGGAGAACAGAATTACACATGATTATGACCGGGAATTCTCAGAGGGGAAGCCAAGAAATGGCGGACCAGAAGCACAAGACAGATGCAGCCTCAACACTGTAGATCTGGAACCTGAGGTAAGTATGTGTCTATATACCTCAGCACTTTGCAGAATCAGAGACATTTTTTTCTGGACTTCCAGGACATTTTTTTCTGTAGGAGCTGGATAGTGATGAAGAATGGCAGCACCTCATTGATGCCACAGATCCTGTAAATGTACAGCTGTGTGCCCCACTGAGTCTTCTGGGAGACCCTGATTTTGTGCAGCGCATCCTTACCCGAATCCAGGATTCTGGTCAGCAGGTGAGATATACAAAATGTCAAAGAACACTAGAGATGTTTTAGGAACTAGTTCTTCAGAAATGAAACTACATGCACTTTAGAGAAAAGAGATGAGGACTTGGAAATTGGAAATAAACTTCCGTGGTCAGACCCCTTTGGCAGTTTTGGCCATTTAGCTATTACTCCTAGGAATTGGTGAGGCACGAAATTGAAGAATGAAGTAAATCTTTAAGAGTTGAAGAAAGTCAGAGTCAAGAAAGTCTCAGTTCTTGTAGGGACTGAGGGAGTCTAAAGGCTAAGCTGGCACATGCTGTTGATTCTGGGAGGAAATGGCTGTAGGTATATTGAGTGAACTTAATAATGGTTCTGCATATTATTGAAGACCGTATGACTAGAATGAACAAACTGTATAATGTCACACTTTAGGGGCTGGTAGTTTGCTAAATGTTTCTGTTTTTAATATGTTTTTATAGGTCTTAGAAGGAATGCTTGAGGGTGCTTCCCATCTTCGTCCTGTTCTTCGTGTCATTTGCAACTTGTTAAATACACGATGTAATTCAGAACTACTCTACATCTTCTGCAAGGACATAAACCTATCCCATTCTGTGATGCATCTAGTGAGGGACATCTTAGAGAGCTCCTGTATCAAGCAGGTAAGAAAGAGGTATTATTTAAACAATCAGCTCAATTCCAGAAAAATGATCTGAGTGGGTGGCAGGCAAATTTTGCTGCTTGTATTCGTTCAGTTTTTTTTATATGAGCATAATTTAAAGTGGCATTTTTATGTTTGATTTAAAAGACAAAAATCATATTTATTGTGCTTAATCTACTCAAAGTTGATAGCATTATTGGAGTATTTGAAATGCAGAATTTGGTGAGAAGAACAGCAGGAAATTAGAGAGAATAGTACTATCAGTTGACTTCTGTAAGGTTTCATTTTGAGTTTTCTATAGCCAATGTCTTGCATTTAAAGTGCTCATGAGTAATCAAGAAAGCCAGCAGATTTGATTTAAGTTAAAACTGAAATTTGATACTAAGGTATCACATTTGTCTGAATCTTATTTCAGTGTTGCAAGTCATGCAAGATAATTTTGTCTAGACAGATCTTTCTTTTCTTTCTTTCTTTCTTTCTTTCTTTCTTTCTTTCTTTCTTTCTTTCTTTCCTTTTCTCCTTCCTTCCTTCCTTCCTTCCTTCCTTCTTGCTTTTTTGCATTAGTAGTCTGCATCTTGCACAAAATTTGGCAGTATATATGTAGAATTCACTGAGATATTCCTTGATCTTTTGGAGACCCCTACACAATTTTCAAAATATGCGCTCTTTTCTCTGTCCTACAGCAGCCATGGCATATTACACTGCTAATAGATCTAATTGCAGTGATGTCAGCCTTCTTTGCCAGTGATTTCAACCAGGAGAAAGATAAAGAAAAGCAAAGGTAAGAAACTTGCAGGATAGAGAGAATAAGAAGGCAAAATAAGTTGTAATACTATTTTCAGCAGAATAGGGGCAGGCAAAATTGAATCCCAGAATAAATGGGTATGGCTGAATAACCGGTGGTTCTATTCTCCTGCTATGTCTTTTTTTCCCCTTAAAAGCAGGGCATAGCAAATAATGTCTCCAAAAAGAAGCCTTTACGCTGCAAGAATTGAAATGGTTAGGAGATGGAGAAAACTGAGTTGCTGTCATGGGGTTTATTAGTATATTTCAGAGTTTAGCTCTTATGTCTTGAATCATAAACACAAATGGTTTTCCAGTTTGCAGGAATTTTACACATGTGCTAGTCACTTCCTAACTCTGCTGCCCACACTACTGAATCAGCCAACAGATCAAGAAAGCAGGCTGCGAGAACAAAGCCTTGTGGTAAGTATCCATGCCTTACCTGATCTTTTTTTTTTTAATTTATCCAGCTGTATTCTGTTGCTGGCACTTTCGTTCTCCTCCTCATTCAGCTTCATCATCTGTTGCCCCAATCCATATGTATGCTGACACACTCATCCCTCAAGGCTCTCCTCAGCTAAGGAATATGGCTTCATCATGTAATGAGAAGCCATTATAGAATTATTGAATTCTGTGTATAGGACAGCTTTTTTTTTAGGTAAGAAAACCTTTACTTTAAATCTGATTTAAAAAGTCCTGCAGAATCAGATATGTTTGATCCAGCAGTTGGTACCAAGGCAGAAAAATAATTGACGGCCCTCTTGTGCTTCTTCTCAGTTTTTGACATTCAGTAGCATAATGTACCTGGACATGGAGTTTCTGAATATCTTCCATGATTAAAAGCCTCCACAAACTTACCCATATGGATTTGTTTGTAAAAACCATACCAAATTATAAAATTTAAGAAAAGGATTTGAAAGCTTGATGTTTTCAAGTCTCGGTTTTCCAGTATGTTTTTCAACATGTGGTATATTGAATCTGAGTCATGTAATATTATTTCCTTAATGTAGGTAATCAGGGAAATGGTTTTAGAGAAGGAATCCAGAGGTCATGAGGAAAACCCCAGTTGTATAACACACATGTGTTAAATCCAGAGCAGCAGGAGAGCATTACAAAGAAAGTCAGAGTAGCCCCCACCCAATCCCTGACTCCCTGAGGTATAAGAGGGAGGGGAAGGGAAAACATGGTAGACTTGCTATTTGCTAAACCTATTATTATAGCCTAGCCCAATAATCTTACTGAAGTGTAGTCATCATATGGAATCGTTTACAGATCTGGTCTATCTTGGGGGGAAAACGGGGGGGGGAGACAGTTTAGATTACCTCACAAACGTCTTACTATTCCATTAAGAAAGATCTCAGAAACAGCTGTTGATTTGTTTTCTCTGCTAGCCCAGGAGTTCTTTATCTAGTGACCCTCTAAAATCATTGATTGTTTGGAAACACTGCATTCCCCCCTCACCCATCCACCCCCGGGAATGATACTGATGGTGGTAGAAACAGCCAAGAAGTATGCCATTTTTAACAGCTCCTACCCAAAGTGCTGCATTTAATGCTGTGATTTCTTGCTAGCTTTGAAAAGTGATTGTACCTTTCCTCCCTTTCAGCTGGGTATCTTCATAACATGGGGCCCTTCTCTCCTAGTTTTCCAAGAAATTAGCGCTCTGCAGGTCCTGCATTTCCCCCTCCCTCACCTTCCACCATTCAACCCATTTGGCCCCAAGCAATCTGTCACCTTTGCTAATGGAGCCAGGGAGATCACATTTATCTTACTTCACCAGCACAGCTTCACTGTGTTGGTCTAGGGTATTATTCCTTCTACCCACCTTTAAATCTGCCCCATCTGCATTGTAATATTTGCCCTTTTTCCCTTCCTTTAGTGTTTCACCCATTTATGTGAGAGCATGGATCGCACCTGTCCATCAGTCTCCAACACCTTCTACACCAGCTTGCTTGAAGAGCATCAAACCCTGCTGGATGCATTCTACCTGGGTGCAAGCTTTGAGCACTCAGCTCAGGAAGGTAATGGATGCAATGGCAAAGACACTGGCCTCCTCGTATTTTGAGGATACTACAAACTGGCCATTATGTTTCTCCATGAGAACTTTCTCTTATTCTTGATTGATGGCTGCTTACAAGCACGATGTTTCTCTAATATTCTCACACAATTCTTACAATGTTTTTCTCCTCTGTGCTCTGATCCAATTAGAGAACACATAGAAGATGTGATATTGATGTTCCACATAGTGCAATCAAATTTGTTTGCATTGCTATTTATAAGGAATAGAAATGGATATTAAATTTATAAGCCACTCAGACTCACTTATGTGAGATGGGTATCTATGTAGATTAAGCAAATAAAATATCTTCTCATTGTGAGGTATCTAGTCTTATACTTTATCTTGTTGCCCTGAACTTCACTGAAAATGTCCCAATAAAGCCTGATTCTCCTCAACAATGACCGTTGTAGCTTTTAACATGTTAACTTACCTGTTTAAACTTCATTCCATGTCTTAACATAATTATTTTGAAACAACATACAATTTGTATTTATCAAATAACCCCCCATATATTTTACATTTTTCTAATATTGAATACTGTATTGTTCATTGGTTCTATTTGATCTTGTATTTTAATATTTTGTTGGTTTCTTTGTCTTCAGTTTATTAATCTTGCTAGCTAATCCACCAAGTTCTTTTAATTTTCTCATTGTTGGTGGTCAGACCGAAAAGCAAGAAAGATTCATGGTGATTCATCCAAGCAGATTTCTTTATTGTTCCATACATATAGACAGGATCTTGCCAAACTGACAGACTATACTATCTACATATCAAACATATATTTTGAGAACTACTAGAGAGGGGCAGTCTTCACCCTCTTTCACACCAACTATTTGAACAAAGATGCCTCTTTTTCCTCCGGAATGCCTCTCCTCCCTCTTGTGAAATTGGCCCACAACATTCTATCACTCAGGTGTCAAACTCTCAATGTCATGTTGCCGCACGTGGCATTTGGCAACATTTTCCCCATTTGCGCAGCTGGGGCAGGCATGGCCTGCATATGACGCATCTGGCCCACGGGCCACCAGTGTGACACCTTCTATCGCATCATTCAAAGCCAGTGATGGGTTCCGGATCCCATTGCAACCGGTACAGTGCAACGGGGCCCGACATCCCCCACATACACGCACAGCACGTGCATGCGTCCTTACCTCTATGACGCCTCCGCGATGCTCCAACTGCTCGGCGGAGCGTCGCACAGGCGCCGTACGCTACATGCACATGCGCATGCGTGGAAGCGCAGAAGAGCTCAAATACAGGTAAGGAGTTCAGGTGGGCCCTCCGGAGCACCGTACCAGAACGGTACCCGGTGCTCTTGGCAGGCACCGGTACGTCTGT